AATATATTATCTAAGCTAAGTGGAAAGAAATGAGAAAGAAAATATATTCCTATACTTCTAGTATACATACATTCTAGTTATCTGATATACTAGCTAATACTCTCTATCCGATGCCCTCCTGGTACTTCGAGAAGCCACCCCTAACTGTCGAGTTCCTTATGACAGCCCGTCATGACCATACAATCGGGGCTAAATACGGAGGAATATCCTCCCCAGGGAATTAACTTAGGATCATATACACGCGCGGAGGAATACCCGTACTGAGCTGTCACCATCAGCGGCCCACCTCTCATCCGCAGCATATAACCCCAAATAATGATATCACGTAATCTAGACACCACGTCTAAACTTCCAGATACTACTCTAATATCATCATCATGACATAGAGTAAATGCATAAGTAAACATTATACCCGCACCAAAGCATCTCCCAGATAAGCTAGCAGCATATTCAGTATAACATGAACATAATGTAAAATTGGCATTCATACTCTCGGAAAGTATTCCAATACCATAAATGTATAAAGAAGAATATTTAATAATACTACAAAGCTTACAAAAGAAGATAGGAAAGCTACTAAAGCCATACCCGAACTCTTTCGAAGACTTCCGGACTCCTAATTTCTACTCTATTCCTATTCCACTAGCTTGATACTACTAAACTAAACTTGAGAGAATATGAGAGAACTTTACTTGAGGTGTGTGAGTGAAGTGGGAATGGCAACTCCTTTTATAGCCTTCCAATGACGTTGTGAATGTTGGAATGGTCGGAAATACCCTCTAACCGTCATTGGGGGCTAATCCACACCTTCCAGGCGAAGCCCTGGATCGGATGGCACTGAGGAGGGTTCAGCCGAACCTGGGGCCTGCCCAATCTAGCCCAATTTCGGCTGGCGGCCTCCTCCGTTGTTCTTCTCCACAGACTTGTGAATTTTGGCCCAGTTTGTCGTGTCAATTCCGAGTCTTGGTCCATTCATATATAAGTCTGGTTCTCGACATCATCCGATTGATTTATCGTCTGTGTTGATGTCGATTCTCCTCCACTTTATGATTATTCTCCGCACAAGGTTAGTGAACCTAATACTAGTGGAATATTATTATTCTAACATACTCTCTTCTTTTTTAATAGATGACGCCGTTGACTTTTTCTCACATGTTTGACCATTCATCTTATTCAAAAAATTTACGTAATTATAATTTATTTTGTTATGAGGTGTTTTATCACTCATAGTACTTTAAGTGTGATTTATATCTTATATATTTGCATAAATTTTTTGAATAAGACGAATAGTCAAACATGTGAGAAAAAGTCAACGGCATCATCTATTAAAATAATGGAGGTAGTATATATAAATTGCAAGCATCACTAGTTCTCCTCTATTTTGGTAATATTGACGGTCGAAACTGATCGATAACGACCGTCAACAACAGCAGGCAGCCCAGTGCTGACGGCAGCGGCGACCGGGCGGACGGTCGGTCATCGCGCGCGCGCGTGAAAATCGAACGACGCGGCCGGATTTTGGGTGGCGTCGGCAGGAAGCGGCGAGAGAGAGAGAGAGAGTGGTCACGCGCGACGCACGTGGGAGAGGAGATGCAGGCCAGGCCATGGCCGGATTCGGCCCAAGCGAATATGAGGGAGGTAAAGTAGACTTTTACCAGGAAATCGCTTTAAGGGATTTGGGGGCAATTGGTGCGGGATTTGAATTCAAATCGAATATTTGAACTCGGCAAAACATGGGGAAGCCAAAGAGGGGATTCGAAGCGAGAATTCGATATTCTTGGAACATATATATAATCATGGGGAGGCGACGCTGGCGAACTTGTTAATGGTATTTCTTAGATTTAGCCGCTTGTCAATGATATTTGTTGGATTATCTCTTATTTTATTGTTCGAAATGGAAGTGATCTTCCTATTTTGCTGATGTAGATGCCACTTATTGATGTCTACAACAATGAAAGTTAGTAGGGGACCACCATGAATCATACGCCAATGTCGGAGGAGACTAGCAGAGAAGGCCTCCGGGACGGTCGCGGCGCGAGAACGACGTAGAGGGAGAATTGCCGGAGTAGCACGTAGTTGCCGGAGAAGAGCGAAGTGTAGTCGAGGAAGATACGGTGACACTGGCGATGAATCATGCTGGACGAAGACGAAGGCGAAGTAGTGGGACCAACGGCCTGGATGGCGACGTCAGTAACCATGTAGAGGTAGCTGGACCACCGGCCTAGAGCGGCGACGGTGGCAGCTTGGAGATGCGGCGACGATGCTCGAAGTAGACGAAGAAGACCCTGAGCGGCTGACGATGACCAGTGCGGATGACGAGGGTGTCGAAGCGCGAACGGCGATGAAGACGACGAGGGGCAACATCGTGACCCATAGGGGCGACACAGGTGCAGCTTGATGTCGATGCAGCGGCGAGAACTCCACTAGTAGGGAGGCCATGCTGAGGAGGGCGCCTCTCAGCGTTCCAACAACAAGTGGAGGTGGACCACGGGCGGTGGCACTGCGGCCCAAGGGGGCGACGCAGCGGCAACCCGAAGCTTAATGGCGTAGACGCATGCTCGATGACGATCGGTTGCAGAAGTCGTTGTAGCCGGGAGCCTGAACGGGTGATCAAGCCGAAGATGCGTGGGGCTGAACGATGAAGTCAAAGCAGAGTCGATGCCGATGTCGGAGATGTGTAGAAGTCGACGAGGCGGTGGGCGACGCAAACCCGATCTATGATCAGGAAAAAAAAACAGACACACACATGTACAGCAGCAGCAACACGGTAACACCACATCTCTTCCTCAATGGTGTCGGTCCATAGACCAAGTCCAGCAATCTCTCTGCCTCAACGGTACCAGCACCAATGACGCATGCACATCTGTCCTCTCCAGACCTCCACAGCCAGAGCCAGCCATCCATGAAACTCCATGTCTACACTTCTCTCTCTCCTCCCTTGCAGTCAAGCAAGTTCACAGAAGAGAAAAAAAACAGGACAGGGTGTCACGTGTCAGGCCCGGCGGTGCTGACAGCCGACGTCAGGAGAGGGCGCAGGTGGTGGAGACGAAAGGCGGCGGAGTCGGAGGGCGTGGCGGTGCAGGGATGCGGCCGGGATGAGTCCGGCCGGCTGCAGGGCCCTGGCGCGCCGATGGCGTCCGTGTGTCGACGGTGAAGACGGCACGGCAGAGGGAGCCCGGCGACGCCGGCTGTGGACCTCGGCGCGGTGAAGAGACGGAGGATGAGCCGGCGAACCGGCTGAGTGGATCTGGAGGTGGTGGAGGCTGGCGACGGCTCGGGATCCGGCGGTCGGCATGGACCGAGCGGCTCGGGATCCGGCCGTCGGGGCCGCGCCGGCGGAACTCGGGCGACGGGGCTGGAGCAGAGACGGACGCCGTGGCTTCCAAGATCACCAGATCGACGTAGCTGCTGTTGACTCGACGAAAAACGAGCCCCGCCGAGGAGATCGATCTACTCGGCGGCGCGACTTGACGAAGACGACGTAATGACGAAGACATGCCGTCCAAGAAGATCGAGATCGATCATCTCATGACGACGACGCAGATGCGAATGACGAACGGAAAAAAAAACGGGTGGCCGCCCTCGTTAGAAACAATTTTTAAATCAACTTTTAAATTTTCTAATATTTAATTACTCTCAAATAACTGTTACGAACTCAGTTTGTGCTATCATCCATCAAAGGGATCGGGCTGAGTTCTTTCTCCAATTTTCCTAACTCATCTCCCTCATTTTTCACGCGCACGTTTTTTAAATTGCTAAACGGTATGTTTTTTATAAAAATTTTCTATATGAAAGTTGCTTTAAAAAAATCATATTAATCGATTTTTCAAAAAAATGCTAATATTTAATTAATCATGTACTAGACTGCTCCATTTTACGTGCGTGGAACGAACACAGCCTAGTCCATAGATTTTGGGCAAATGAGTTACTGACAAGCTGGTACGTGCGTACTTTCACCTCTCCTGAAGGAATCGTAATCTAGCGTGCAGTAGTGCTGGTAAACTATCACACATCATGCATCTTAATGACGCCCCTAAAACCAATTAATTTTCTAACAGAATCTAGCTTTGTGGTACCATACTAGTTTCTTAATACAGTAGTATGCGTAATCGTGCACGAATTTCACAGGAACGGTGAGAATTTTCCCGTGTTTCATCAAACCAAACGTTTGCATTGTATATTTCCATGCATAGCGTTCATGCTGAAGAAAGAGATGCGTCCTTGAATCTACGCTCGATTGCTTACATGTTTTGTTTTCTTACCGTGTTACCGTTTCACTAAATGAGTATCTCGCGTAACGCTTGTCATGTAGTACTAATGTGCAAGATAGTAACTCCACTACTTGAAATCAACAAACTCACTCGTACGTTCGGCAATGGCTTGCACACCAATTTCAACTTTTTCACGGCACAACTCTTCACATAGGACAATAAACTTTTCGCATTGCAAGCTAATACAAAAAACACAAGAACTAAACAGAAGCAGAGTATGCTAGAAGAAAAGCAGGGGAACAAAATCAGTGAGAGAGTTCTGTACCTGCTAGGATGGAGGCAAAAACTGCAAGTAGCAACGCCATGTCGAGCATGGAAGCAGCTGAAGACGCCATTCTCAAGCTCGACTCAACCTGTGACATCTGACCTGTTGTTGCTTCTTGCAGAGCCTAACGGCCACGAGCAGAAGCGCTACTACTCCCGGCTTATATAGGAAGGTGAGAACAACGCCAAAATGTGTTTGGCTCATACTGGCCAATAGGATTGAATTCTTAGTCTGAATTAACTTTGCCATGTTCAACCAATTCATGGATGGATGGACAACGATGACTTCGACAAGAAAAAATAGGCAGGAGATAGTCGAAGGTCACACTCTGTTCGGTACAGGTAGGCAGTGGCGAAGACAGGACAAAAGTAGAGCAAAGACCATTAGCCAAAGGTAACATGAGATTAGTGAGTCAAACACATCTCTAACACTCCGAGAGTTTATATTTGGTACATCTATATTTGTTCAGTGTGAAAAACCATCTTGCATCAAACTGTTTGTCATCTATTTCCAAAACTGGGTCTCTTAGACAATTTAACTATGTTTTTGTGCTCATCAAAGGAAAGCCAAGGAAAGCAGGGGCCTGACTCTTCTGACCAAGTTGTTACATCGACCTTGCAAAGGGTAGAGTGAAGATCTCGTCATGATCTCATATCATCGTGCAAATATGTGATTTCATTTTCCATATGCATCAGTGCTTCATTCTTAGAGTATAACGGCTATGTAATAGTTTTGTTCTCTCCAGATTCTGTAACACCACTCGTACGAAATTACTCACCAATGGCTAACATATAAGCCGTTTGATTCATATATATTATATGTGCCTTCAACTTTATTCAGCTTTAATCTTACAAGACCAGTAGTTCAGCCTAAAAACAGCAAAATAATCTAATTAATCCATCTATGTGCAGGCGGCGCGTCCCAACCTCTAGTCTCCTATTACCAATTGCAGCAGACTTGGACTAATGGAATTGCTTGAAGTGAAGACCAGTGAACAAAAGGCTTTACACAAAAAGAATTGTTGACCTCTTTCGGGATAAGGCCCGGAAGAAGCAGGGATTGAACCAGGGCTTGTTGACACAGCAGATATCAAAAGCCTATGTTATCTCATTTTCAGGGACCGAGCAAGGGATGAGCGCCCTCTGATCTAACGTCCAAACAAACAACTGCCCTTGTTACTAGAAATATGAAGCGTGCTAGCGCGCACTTCCTATTAACCAATTCACCAATTTTAAGATTTGTAAACAAAGATAATAGGAGCCGAAGTCAATCCCTTAAAACACTCCTCCCCGAGGGGACGTTATCGGTCGCTTCGTTCCCTTGTTTACTGATCTCTTTTCAGGAGATAGGTCTACCGTTGCAAACTCATCTGCTTGTAAATTCATTGTGTAAAATAACTCGTAAATTCATTGTGCCAGAATTGATCACTGATCAGGTGTGATCAGTCTCATCCGTCTAAGAGACTGATCCGGTGCGATGAGTCTCATCCGTGTAATATTTTGGAATTCCTCTTCCAACTCGTCCCGGAATGGGCGTTATGGCAAAGAACAAGAAGAAAAAGAAAGAAGGAACTTGTCCAATAGTAACAAATGGTGCCTCCACAGGTTGACATCTGATCCAACCTAGTAGTAAGCAATCCGCCAAAAGCAACCAAAATATTCCTTGGTGAATCGGTCGAAAACTTGAACTACGCACATACATTTCTTTAAAAAAAGGTAAAGCCAAGAGATATAAAAACTGGTGCTATTGCGGCTACACCTGGAGTGAGCCCACAAGAGCTTTTACTGTACCAGTTCCGAATATAAGAAGGGGCTCGCGGATTTTAACAGGTTAGGCTTAATCTACCCAATTGGAAATCTCTTGCAGTAGCTTTTACTAGAAATCCATTTCTCCCACAAAGCTCCTGTGACCTAACCATCTAGATAGAAGCCTCGCAAAGAGTATATGCCGAAAATCCTATGTTTGGAGTGACCATGAACACTGCTTGAGACCCTTCTTTCGTGAGAGTTGTGATTCCGCTTTCATGTTTTGGATTGAGCTTTAAGTGGATTGGAGGCGGGCATTTTCATTTCAACGTAGCAGTAGGGAAAGTGATTTCGGGGGGTTAGTACACATGGGCAGTTGGGACAGTTACAGGTAGTTAAGTTCGGTCTTATTCTTATGGGCAAGTGGTCCTAGAATCTCTCTTTCCTTCTCTAAAGTATAGCTTTATGAAACTAGAATATGAGTAAATATAGAAATAGAATAATAAGAATATCATATAGCCGTGTATTGGTTTTGATCCCAGTTTTATCCTACATGGCGGCTGAGTCAGCGTGGGACCCACGTGGACCCACATGTCAGCATGCCACGTTATCTCTTCTTTCTTCCCTTTTCTTCTCTTTTCTCTTTTATTTTCTTCTCTTCTCTTGTGAGGGTAGGCGGAGGCGGAGGCGGAGGCGGTGGCGCACGCCGTTCAGAATGACCGCCTCCCCGTGCGCTCCGTGCTGCAGATGCTCTTTTCCGAGCACGGCAAGCTCAACCGCCTCGCCGAGCTCAGCGGCGGTGCCTCCTTCGGCGCGCCCAGCCTGGTATTCGACCTCCCCGGCGCCCGCTGCCCTCCAAGCGCGAGGTGCTCGCCCAGCACCACGAGCTCCGCCGCCTCCGCGAGGACTTCGCCCGCCTCCAGGTACGGTTTCATCACGGCCATCTCCGCCGCCACCGTTCATCAATTCAAAGCTTTGAGGTGTTCGTCATTGTCTTCGTCGCGACGTGCAGGTCCAGTGCAGCGCGCTGCAGGCTCAGGTGGACAGGCTAAGCATGGAGAGGAGGTGGCACGGTGGCGGTGGCGGGTTCTTCAAGTGGAGCACGTTCTGGTTCGGCGGCATGAGCTCCGACGTCGCGAGGGTGGAGGACTCCGAGAGCGGCATTGAGCGGCGGACGCCGGCGAGCGGGAAGAAGGGCAGGGGAGGCGCACTTGACTAGTTGCAGAAAGAACTCTGCAAAGCTATGTATGCCTCACTTGAGTACTAACTGTTAGGTTTGTCTATTGGATTACCTAGGTTTAGATCTAGTCGGTAGAACACTTTGGATGGATGAACAACAATAGATGAACTAACAAAGAGGAAGTGAGAGGGTTTAGGGATGTGACCGGTCGATGTTGAGGAGGAGGAAGTGAGGCCGGCCATCGTCGTTGTCGTTGTGCGCTTGACGTGGGCGGCGGCGACGATGCTGCGCGGCAGTGGCGGTCGTAGGCGATTCCGGCGAGGTCATGGCGCGACGATGGAGTCTTCCCGTCACTGGCTGTGCCCCCTTGATCGGTTAGGGTTTGTGGGGTGGAGTGGCGGTGGCGACGAACCTCGTGTCTTGTGTCGTCCCGTCCTCCACCCCTCTTTATATGGCGCAGGGTGACGGAGGCCCACCAGCCATTGGGCTGGGCGCCCCCGATCAGGGCGCGGGTCAAGGCCCCCTTGAGCCGTTGGGCTCAAGGAGAGGGAGATCCATCTAACATTCTCCCCCTTGATCTCACTATTTCTTTTAGCTTTTTCTATTCCATCACAGGTTTACATATAGAGCATGTTTCATCGTCACGGTTAATTACCGCTGGATTCGACAGCCACTATACACATCTCTATTCAGAAACAGATACTTTAACTTTTGGGCCCTATAGTCCAGGATTCATAAGGCTTCCCTTAAACACATGCATGCTACATGTTCCTTGAACATGTTGGGAGGTAGGCCTTTCGTGAGCGGATCCGCGAGCATCCTTTCTGTTATAATATGCTCGAGACTGATTGTTTGATCCCGGACTTTGTCTCTCACAACATAGTACTTTATGTCAATGTGTTTGGCAGTACCACTTGACTGATTGTTGTGAGAGTACATTACTGCGGGTTCGTTATTGCAGTATAACTTTATTGGTTTCACAATACTGTCAACCACCTTTAAACCGGGTATGAACTTCTTTAGCCAGTTCACCTGCCCCGTTGCTTCATAGCATGCTATAAACTCGGCATACATAGTAGACCCTGCAGTGATAGTCTGTTTTGAGCTTTTCCATGAAATGGCTCCTACTACCAGGGTGAACACATATCCCGATGTTGACTTTGTATTATCTTTTGCAAAGTCAGAATCTGAATACCCCACTATCTGGAGCGATTCTGATTTTCTGTGAGACAGCATGAGGCCTTTTGTTCCTTGCAAATAGCGCAAGACTTTCTTTACAAATTCCAATGCTCTAGGCCTGGATTACTTTGAAATCTGCCAAGTAACCCGGTAACTAATGCCACGTTAGGTCGTGTGCACACTTGCGCATTCATATAAACAATTTTAGCCATTTATATCTGGTATTGATACTGCCATCTATATTCAGGGCATGTCTCAACATATTGCCAATTATCTTGTTATACACAGAGCTTGAACTGAGATAATGAAGAGATCGCAAAAATGTGTATTCGTGGTCTATTAAATTCTGGCCAATATCAAAATCTTCAACTGATTTTCCTAAATATAATTTTTTAACCATCGCAGTTGTTTCAATATAATTCCCGGGATAATGGATCCTACTCCAGATATGATGGCTAAAAGACTTGTACCGCAATATAACATCGTTACTTTAAAGACACTACAATTATCTGTCTAAACTGAAGCCTGAAGACCATGAGGTTCGTCTCTTTGAATGAACTCCAGTATCCAAATAAATATAGGGGCAAAAATAGAGGAGCAACAAATCAATAAAAAATCAAACAGAGGCAAATGCATGGGAAGGAACATACTGGCACATTCTCATTCCTTGGTAAGAAATAAAGGAATTATAGAATATATAGCTTTGCATTGACCAAGTGGCTTAGGTATAAACCAACTGGCCTGTTATAAACTAACAATATTATCTGAATATCATCTAATACAATATTCAACCATACTTCAGATTTTTAAGGTAGGAAAAATGTACTGACCTCCCTCCTTATTCAGGGTGAACACCTTATTCCAAGTCCATGTATAGATCAAGAATATAGAGAAAATACACTGAGAACTACAATGTGAAGAAGGCAGGAAGAACTGCCCACCTAATGATCTATCATACATATATCAGGAAAGTGAGCTAGTAAAAATGGAGATATAAACAAATGGTACTTTTGGACTTGCCAAATTGGAACACTGGATGCAATAATATGTCAAGATTGTCAGGTTCACCGAGAATCTTTGATGTCATCAGAAAATTTAAGCTTTGCCGGGTCATATGTAATACTTCCAGATTCAAGTCCATGTTTAGTGTCTTCTATTTCTTTCTGACAGCGCTGCTCATTTCCCATTTGCACACCTGATAAGAAGCACAAAAGGGAACTTATTACCAAGGATGAAAGCTGAAGAACTTAGTTTAACATGGCTTGCATGTTCCATTTGGAAAATAAAATTGGCTTCACCTTTACACTCACTATAACAACAAAAATAACCGGCATGTATCATGGAACTATAATAATGTACACCCCAGAGAAGACTGTCTAGACCTCCAAACAGAAAATAACCTCATGAATACTTTGGATGGGAAAAATATTGTTCAGTAGGTGCCAACAAACTAAAACGGTGAAATGTAAAAGGCTTAGAAGTTGGTAATATAAATTACTTCCAATAACCAAATTGCACAGTAGATAACAGACCTACAACATATTTGTTTGGTTCAAAGCACATTGTAGTCAATATAGCAAATTTTGGTTGTATCAAATATTGAGAAAGCCTATGGAAACGGAATTCATGGTACTAATAAACCTGATATGCAAAATGTAAGAACTAACCAATTCAAATTACATATGGATATTTTGTATCCTTAGACAATGGGTAATTCTAAAGATAAAATACAGCATTGCAGTTATTATTATAGATTAATGACAGGCATATATGTCACTCTTGTGTTCCCAACCAAAAAGTACATAGAGAGCTAGACCATGGCAACAGTTCGTATTAATACTGCAACACTAATGTGCAAACAGGTAAAACTAATTTGTATAGACAAATGATCTGTTAAAACTCATGCTCAAAGAATGAAGAAGGGCATCTAGGAGACAAACCGAATCATAATATCAATACACTCAATTCATATACAACATATGCATGACAGAAGGAGATGATTAATTTGATCTGTACCTGGGTGGTGATGTTTAAACATTAGTACTGAATAATCTAGCCTTCACTCCCTTTTTTCTTTCCTTCCTACCAATCATGTGAAACTCACAATGAGCAGCAAATCAAGAATAGAGAGCAGGCGCTAGAACAGATATGTATATATGCATATAATAGGGAGAATCAATGTTTTAGCAGTAGTCATGTTGAAAGAATGAAGAACATCTAGGAGAAAAACCGAAGCACAATGTCCCAATTTACTTGCAGCCGTCGTCACCATACCTTGCCATAGTTTGTGCCTTGCTGCCGTCGTCGCCGTACTTTGCCATAGCCCATGCCTTCCGCCGTCGTGGCTTTGGTGCCCAAGCTGCTGCTCTTGCTCTCCCCATCCTGGCACCGAGGGGAGGTGAGCGGCATGGAGAACGGGTGAGGAAGACAGTGGAGAGTAGCGTTGTACTGCCGAAGAGGGCCACGACCGGATCCACCTGGAAAGTCGAGGGAATCGGACTTGGGATCGCATCAGGCATAGAGGATAGGGTGAGGGAGAGAGAGGCTAACGTGGAGATGAGATGAAAGAGGAGAAGAGGAGTGCAGTGGCTCGCATCCCTCTCGTCCGGGCAACCGACAATCCACCAGCGAGGAGGCCGCTGTTGCCGGATCTGGAAGCCCCGCCTCCTCACTGGTGGACATGACGGACTCGCTTGCCGGCGCGGGAGCGCGGGCACAGTAACAATGGCTGGATGAGGGCACGAGGGAGGCGAAGGACGACGAAGCTACGACAGCGACGGCGCGCGCGAGGAATGAAGAGAAGAGGGCATGGCGGCGCGCGTGCGAGAGGAAGCGGCGACGGCGGTACGGCGAGATAGCTGGAGTAGGTTGAGGCCTTGAGGGAGTGGAAGAGGAGGGAGTTGCGGCAGTGACGACGCACGGGAGTGAAGGAGGAGGGCGAGGCTGCGGCGCGATTGGAGGAGGAGGGCGAGGCGGCTAGGGTTTGTTCAGGCTTGCGAAATCCACACCGTCCGTTAGAGATCCGACGATCCCACGGGTGCGGAAGGGCCAGCACAGTGAGGAACGTGGACGGCCAGATCGACCCTACCTCGAGATCGGACGGCGGATATTAGCGGGGACCGGTGCGTAATTAACCAAAAGTGTAGGGTTTTTTTTGCAAAAATTGCTGATGTGCTGGTAGTCTTCCACCGATCGCACGGCTTTTAAGTAAACCTATATTCCATCCTTCCATAACGTTCAATTTAAAACTCAATCTCTCAATCTACAAATTAAGAATGTATTCTTTCTTATACCTTATAGTTTGAATTTAAACATCCGTGTTTATATTTATTTTGTAGTTTGCATTTAAATTTACATGTTTATATTTTAATCCATAGTTGTATCGAGAAGTATGGACTTACTGGTTATTAGTAGAACTAGATGGTGATGGTGCTGCATGCAAAGCGCAAAGCTTTCGGTACGTAGCTGACGACTACACGAGAACGAATTATTTGGAGGCGTCGAACAGATAAATATTAGTACTATACTAGAAAATCTCGCGCCAAATGGCGCGCCCCATTTAGCATGTTCTTATGCATGAACGTAGAAATTTCAAAAGATTTGGTAGGATTAGGCCAACTTCATTAAATTGTTCATTTAACATGTAGATTTATTCAATTAAAGATCATCATATTTTAATCTATTTATGGCATAGCTATTAAAAAGTGTTTTTTTAGTAAGTCTACATTATTTAAAATGTACTTATTTTAAAAATATTAATTATCAAGCTTTATCTTCAGCTAAATAAGCCATGGTCTTTAAAAATAAGCTTTATAAAATGGACTGTTTTTTTATGTAAGTCTACATTATTTAAAATGTACTTATTTTAAAAATATTAATTATCGAGCTTTATATTCAGCTAAATAAGCCATGGTCTTTAAAAATAAGCTTTACAAAATGGACATTTTTAAATAACGACCGTACTCGTTTTTTATATATATAAAAAAGACCAAATCGAATTTATGATAAAAGAACATCTTTTCCTCGTTCAAAATATAAGCATTCAAAGTTTATATCAGAATATAGCAATTGAGTATCCAGTCCCTTGTCTCAACCAATCATAATATTTCTTATTTAATTTTTCCACTTACCCACCTAGTTTATATTTGGTTAATATTTCTTATTTAATTTTTCCACTTACTCACCTAGTTTATATTTGGTTTTCAACTAAGAACTATGTAATAATGGCTATAGCTTCTATTGAAGTAAACACTGGATTTTATCCATTATCTAAAAACTCACCTAGTTTATTAATACCTATACCCAATTTCAAATAATGTTTTAGACCTTACAATGACGGGGCATTTCTCACGAAAGTAGAACTAACAAAAAAAAAATTCTACTCCAACCCTGAAAACTTTATTTCTAGCAATTCTCATGCAAATTTGTAGTGGCAAGAAATATCCTTTGCGTCCTTATCAATTTTTAAATTTTAATTAAATATGTATATATACCTTGATTTGATTGGCTAACAGATGTTCTTATAAGGGAGTACGTAACATATCTTTTAGTATTTGATTGTTTTTTTTACTTGACACAGCCTATTAAATTTTAATCGCTCTTTATTTTGCAAAAGTTCTATAAATATTGTATAATACTAGCAAAATACCCGTGCGTTGCACCGGGTAATGATATGGTGACTGAAATTTGATTTGAACTATTTATATGAAGAAAATGAATTGTAATTTAATGAAATATAAAATTTTCTGCAATATTAATTACACTCTTTTAAATTATAGCAAAAGTGATATTGCGTTGCAACGAATAGAAAAAACAGATAAAGTTGAATTAAAACATATTAAATTCTAATTAAATGAAATATAAATTTTCTGAAATATTTAGGTATTTTTTAAGTAGGTAGGTATACAATTAAATTAATTTATAAGTAAAGTAAGTGTAAGAAATAAAATGTTGTGGTTGGATTTAACTTTTATTAAATTTTCTATATTAATTACACTCATTGAAATTTTCTTGGAATTTACCTAGCTTAATTGCTAATTTTGATAATACAAATATCATTTCAGCATTTATTGAAATAAAAATCTAAATAAAAATCCTTTTTTCTCTATGGGCCTTTTTCAGCCCATTTTCTTCTTCAGCCCGCAAGAGACCAAAGTCTACTTAATACCCCCATACTCCTTTCATTTAGTGGACCGCGGGCCCACGTGCGGCCCAAACCCTCGATCGATCTCAGCCGTTAGTTTTGATGGACGGCTCAGATCAGATTAAAATTGATGAAACCCTAACCCTAACCCTCCCCCCAGCCGAGCCGAGCCGGCCGCCTCTTCCTCCCCCGCCCCGACGCCGCCTCTCCCCCTCCCTCTCCCCACCGGCGTCTCTCCCCCTCCCCCCAGCCGGCCGACTCCCCCGCCACCGGCGCCGTCCCTCCCTTCTCGCCGGCACGGCGCGGCGATGGTGGGGTGCGGCGGTGTGTGGCGGCGCCGCCGCCTTCCCCCAAGGCGAGCGGCGGCGGCGGCGCCCTCCTCCCCGCGAGCGGCGGCGGCGGCCACTCTCTCCACTTCTTCCCCTTTCTCTTTGTGTGGCGGCGGGAGGGCCGGCGACGCCCTCCCCTCCGCTAGATCGGGGGGAGGGGATGTGCGGCGGAGCGGGAGAGGCGGCGGCCTGGACGACGTGGAGACAGGCGTCGGCGCCGGCCGCCTTTTTTTTTTTTTGCAATTTTATTCCATGGCTATTGCTAACCGAATCGGATTGTGTATGGACGAAAATTAGATGTGACGACCGGAAAAACACGAATATTTATATTAGTTATAGATTTTACATGTTAAATATAACTATATCTTTTGCATCCATCAAAACATCACAAAAAAGCTGATTCCGGCTATCGGTTGGCAAAAGTGAAGCACTTATTAACTCTCTTTATTATTTTATTGGTCGATACTTATCAACTGCATTAGTGCAAAGAGATAGGTAAAGTAATGGGTTTTCTAGAGATTCTGATGTGCAAGGGACATCACAAGAGCTTATATCTGATTGACACGTGGCAAAAATTTTGGTGATGTTTAGCTAATTTTTCAGGCTGCCACGTGGCCCAATAACATTCTAGAATCATGACCCTGATATAGGTAGAAGAGATTGCTGATAAAGAAAAATGGCATTTTGCAACACATTTAACTTGTTCAGTGTTCAAGCTAACGTTGAACCTGGTACAAGTACAACATGCTGGCACGCATGTCCACATCTCGCGGGTCGAGGGTTCAAGCCGAATACAACACACGGCATGTTGCATTTCATCATAATTTAAAGTACTTAGCATCACTTTGAACAAGGTTTTGGTGGTCACATGTATATTCGCAACCTTCTTAAGGTGTCCGCAAAAGACGTGCGCAGCATAATACTTTGCAGACCTATGGTTATCAACAGCAACATGCCACTAGGCACCTGCACGAAGAAAAACAAGAAAATATTACTGTAAATTTAAACAAGTGAAATTCTATTGAGGTACCCTAACAACTTGACATTACGATATATTGCTCAATTAATAATATAGGCGTCACAGCAATGATTTCCACATGTTCAGTAACTGTAGACTGAAACAAAACTCACGACATACCTTTTTGCTCATGTCTTTAGCACCTTCGTGAGCATTCTGAATGCAGCAGTACTGTACCTTCTCGATTCATGAGTACCACTCAGTTGCTGAATTCTTCCCAAGAAACTAATATTATGGTTCAGACTCGAAGACTCGTTACTCACTACTGAATTACGGAACTGTGGACGATGAAGCATTGACTTCTCATCTGCTGCTCCATTGGATACAGACAGCTGGGCCCCTAATACTGATCTCCAGTAGGGGAAAAAATTTCTCTTTATGAATGTTGGATCCCATCCTTTAAGTGCCTTTTTTCTCGCAGCCTGTCCCATAATTAAATGAAGATTAAGCTTTGTGAAACCCAAAAAAAAATTGTTAAATTCCAGCTTGATCAACCAAAGAGCACTTGATTCACAATATTTTCATATATCCTGGGAGAGGTGTTTTACTTGAGCAACAGAATAAATTGTTTTCTGGTTATATTCAAGTGATGTCAACAAACTGAATTGCTTAAGCAAAAGCAGCTGAACCAGTAAGCAGCTGCACGGCAGAAACATAACAACCAGAAGCATAACAGACATCTATCAGCTTGATTTATTACCATCCAACTACAAAAGGACTAATCATACTGAGTTCGTTCATTCTAACATCTTAACTAGGTCATGATCAAATATCAAAACAAACCATTGCACACCAAAAATCTATCGCAAGACCACACACACACAGAAAGGGAGGCAGATCAAATCTAAACACAATACTTAAAGCAAAACATTCTATCTCATTGGAGAAAATCAATTATTTTCAGATTGTTGACAGTACTATAATCTAGAATGACGCACTGCTGTAAAAACTGCCGAGCAACCTTTTACCAGGATAGAGAAGAGACCAGACATAGAGTTTCTACTTTTCTAGAATCCCAACTACAAGATAATGATCTGGCAGGCACTCTGGCTTATATGCACCAGCCAGTAAGATGGCAACTAATAGCAAACCTAACTTGGAACCTAAGTAACTGATCATTAGCTGCTGCTGCTCCCTGCATGCTTTGGTACATCATACTCCCCACGCATTGTTGCACAATAATTAACAAGGTGAATATAAGAAATCATCATTGGTAACATCGGAATACAATTACCTTTTTTTCTGCAGCAGGCAGAGAAGTAGACATTTGTGCAACAGCCTTGGTTACATCTATATGACCATAAAAAATTTAATAAAGGCTCTTTCTGAGAAATTCAGAAACAGTTACTTAAATAATAAACACACACCTTTGTGAACTATGTCGCTGTAAGAAATCTTGTTATATGGACAGCTTCAATAACAAGTTTAAGAAATAATTAATAAACAACAAACATTTGCATAGAAAAAAAATATTATATTGAATACAAAAAGAGCAGTACAGGATCATGGTGTCAATGTATTCTTCGTTAGGGCAAAACCCGAATTCCTTAAGAATATATGAAACACGCGCAAGGACCTCCACATTGGGCACCTGAATGACATTAGAACCATTATATCAGATAGTGAAAAATGTCAGAAAATGAAACATAAAAATAGCATATATTGATAATATGGTCATGTAGTACAATGATATCATTGGTGGCAAAGAAATGACAAAAAAGAATGGTTTAGATAAAATTTAATTATAACAGATGAACTGAAAGAAGGTAGAACAGTTTGCAATCACATCGAATACAAGCTTACTTGGTAAAATAAAGTGCATATATTGATAATATGATCATGTAGTACAATGATATCATTGGTGGCAAAGAAATGACAAAAAAGAATGGTTTAGAGAAAAATTAATTATAACAGATGAACTGAAAGAAGGTAGAACAGTTTGCAATCACATCGAATACAAGTTTACTTGGTAAAATAAAGTACATATACAAACATATTCAAAATTACGTAACTATTTCTCTTCGTTTGCCTTAACTATATTCAGGATTAGGAACCAAATAATACGACTAGATGGTTCAAAAGGTACAAGGCATGAACATTAGTCATTCAAATTTCAACTTGGTAACTGTAATTGACTATAAATTATAAAAAGGTAAAAGTCTATTTTTTGGCATTTGAAATTTCCTTGTAGTCCATTTTTCACCCTGAACTTTGAACTGGGCATTATACATGGTGCATTAGGCAGATGAACTACCTTGGGTGGTGTTCTGTTGCTGTTTTAGTGTAATTTTTTTCAATATTTTTTAATGTAATGTGTTTGGGCCTAGGCTCATAGTGCTTTCTTGAAGCATATGCCCTGAACTAAGAAACTAGTTGTTTTTTACCCCAAATTTATAAACTGGACAAATAACACACTAAATCATATTTCATGGTGGACAACATGATAGTGGTTCTCGCTAACATGAACTTCATCAGGTCAGTTTCATTGTTGTGGACCTAATCATGCGACATATATACTACCAAAATATGCAAAATATGAGCCTGCACTAGGGAAAATCACCACTAATACCAATATATTTTTTTTAACTTTTCCAACTTGTTTGTGTCAACAATATCAAAATATCCTCAGGGAAATGTAGTCAGCTTAAGACAATAACAAAACCTATTGGTTGCCACTTGCCGCCATGAACCAATAATTAATACGCAAAGTATTTCGTTTTTTGCCGTTATGTGCTGTGCATCAAGAAAATTCACAAGGAGATAATAGCACACAAGTATTCATGAAACATGCAAAAGTTGCAATGGCCAACATCACTAAAATATATCAAAAAGTGTACACAGTTACTCTGTATATGCCTGCGCTGTGGTTACAACTACGATTAAAGAGGCTTGTTGCATCTCTAATAAAATTGATATAAATTGACATTTTTATACAAAGATTTCGTATACATTTCTGTAAATAATGTTAAATCAGTTTTGGTTACTTGAAGCAAAAGCAAAAAACAACTCACATAATATCCAATACAAAGTTGAATTGAAATGCAATAATATTTCCACGCTATAAATCACTAACACAAAAGGTTGATACAAATGCATGAAAATTTTATTACTATTTGAGATTTGTTTCCTAAATCATCTCCACAACTCAGATATTAGAATGCATATCAGCATCTGACAGGAATACCCTAAAGTTGTTCTTTTGGAAGGGTGAGCCTTCAGAACCTGGCTCCCCTAAGAAGCTAGTAGTTGTTATGAACTGGTGAGTAATGCTATAACAGGACAAATTGTAGGGGATATGGTACTAGAGTTGGGCGAGGGAGGAAATTTCACAGGGATTACTTGACAAATGGCATGCCCCAAATAATAGTACCAATCACCAGCTAGAGTCTGCTACAGGCTCTATTCAGATACTATCTCTTACAATAGATAAGACGACAAAAGGTTCTGACATTAATGCACCAAAACAGTTTTTTTGTTATCTTTCTTTTCTTTTCTTTTATCTATCCTCATGCAACAAAGTTTCCTTTTATAAACGCTAAGAGTCGATGTTAAGCCGTTGTTAAGCTTAACAACGATGTTTCACCCTCCTTTCCCCTCTCATCCATGTCAGCAAACTTTACCTTGTTACCAATGCTAAGAGCCTGCTATTAGTTGCTGTTGTATACATGCCCTAATTCAAACCTATCTCAAATCAACCAGAGGATAGTAATCTAATTTAATATGTTTCAAGGATAGCCATGACTACTCAAAATAACCCAAGGTACAGAAGCTCCTGCAACATGCTAAGGTCACATCCCTAACAATAGAGGGCTCCAGCTTCTCAAAGCAGCGGAGGCTCTTACGTCATAACTCATAAGCTTCATTAGACAGCTTACTCTTGTGATGGTTTTAACACAATGTTGAAGATAGATAAAACTGGACTGACCGTTCACTTTATGCTGGATATGCTACCCTATAGTACAAGTAACGGAAAGTGGCCACGGAAATCAACAAATCACTAGCATTCTTGTTAGGATCAGGGCATGGAGCCATGGAATTACCTATTAAAATATTAATACCAATATGAAAAAATATACAGTGAGTAAGAGATCATATGGTGCTGTGATTTTACACCATTAAAAAAACAATAGTACCTCTGAATGTGCTTGAATGTAGTTATCCAAAACCTCACCAGCTTGCGAAATTATAGTGACAATCAGACATTTACATTTCAAAAGTGCTCTTCTTTCCTCCAGCAGCTTCTGCCCCTCTGCAGTATCACCTTTATCACACACTAGGGAATCATAGTCCTCATATATACGTTGCGCGATAATGTCGAACCCATCAGGTTTGCCCTCACGGATATGTTTTCGGGCTGCCAGGAGTAAAACTGCGGATTCTACAAGCTTGTCATTCTTCATGTAATTCCAGAGCTCATCAGCTAGATTATCTGTTTTTTCAGCAAGCAGTCTAACTGTATCCAAAAAAACCTTCTGCACAATAAAAAGAAGGCAAAGGAATGAAATCTAAATGACTTTGAGCATTTGTATGCAAGCAAGCAGTGAAAAATTACTTCCTATTACATCTCGTTTCCACTAATTGTAGCAAGGATGAACTAGGATCAAGCGGAATAAAACCTACTACTCCCTCCGTCCCATAATATAACAACCTAGGACCGGACGAGACATTTCATAGTACAACGAATCTGGACATGCACATCCGGTCCTAGATTGCTATATTATAGGACGGAGGGAGCATTTAGCTATTTCCTCTGTTACAAATTACTAGCTTTATCCAAAGTCAAATATTTATATCCTTGACCATCAATTTCTATAAATTCGTGTGTTTTAACAACATGCAAATTATATATTATGAAAGTATTTCTCATGGTGAATATAAAAACATAAATCTTAATGTGTTAAACTATATGACCAGAAATAGACGGTCAGATACAGATAGCTCACTTAGGACAAAACTACAATGACTAGAAAAGGAGGGAGTAATGGAATTTTGAACTGCTGACTTCTTGCCTCTAAATTTGAAATAAGAAAATGCCTCAGCACATGTGAAAATTTTTAAAAGATGACAAACAGGAACACATTTTGTTGTCATGCTGAAAAGATGATACTTTGGAAAGAGCGTTAAGTGAAACAAACCATCTCAGGTAGACACAGCAGATGAATGAGCTTGTAGATATAATCCTCATGATACTGCACAGGAGATAGATTGTCCTCCAGATATTTATGCAAGCAAGTATTTCCAACTGCAACATGGAGCGGGAGTAGTCCGGGAATGCCAGCATCATTGACTGTGTGTAAATTGGCTGAAGCACCATGGCAGAACAGCAACTTGATCATGTCAACAGAGAACCGTTCAGCAGCTTCATGGAGTGGAAAAATTCCATATGGGTTAATGCAGTTTGGATTGGCATGCATACAACTGAGCTGAGGTGCCTTGCCCTCCAATACAGTTTTCGCACATCGCAAGGCATTATGCCTGACAATGCAGGATAAGGTTTCTGAGGTGATGTTACACTTAAATGCCATGGCCGCAGTACATTCCGCGAACAAACGGAAGAAGCACCGGACACTGTCCTTTCTCAAGACGGAGTCCAAGCGGGGAGATATATCAAAGAAGGCATCCCGCACCACCTAAATTGGTCCGTTCACAATCAGAAGAGATGAAAAGAAATCAGCTTTCAATGTAATAAAGCAAAACATAAAGTCTCATTGCCGTGCACCTTCATGACAAAACATTTCATTTCAGCAAAGGGCACCCTTTTTTTTTGAGAAAATGGAAGAGACAACTTACGTAAACTAAAATGCTGCAGGATTAAAAAAGGACAAACGTAACAGGATGATCTAGCAACTGAATTCTGTACATGAAGACTAGAGAGCAACCTGAGGGGTAGGGTCTGGGATGATTATATCATTTGTTAAGGACTTGGCCATCCAAGCATATTTTATTTTAACCCACTGGAAGAGAGAATGTCAGCAGCCAGGTACCAATGGAAGACAGAAACCTAGAGGAAGAGTGCAGATGGGCTACCATACCTCATCAGCCTTATCCAAATCAGACTTCTTGATAACTAGAAAAGGGCGGGACGGGTCCATGTTATCTACGGTTGCTCCATCTTCTTTACCTTTACCAACACTTTCTCCTATGAAAGCATCTGGCAGAACATGATCGGGAATTTTCACCACTATATGTTTGTCTGTAACAAGGAGGATTAATCTCTAGTTACATTCAAAAGAATATCATAACTTTGTACTGCTAGTAATATAATATAATATACAATTGGTAAACAATGATCCTTAAGACTGTGAAGACAAAATAAATGATATTTAGGACATGGACACGATCTACAAAGTGGCACTTAGGCTAGCAATATCTATGGAAACATGATATTTCAAGTAAAGATGATTAAATATTATGAGTATTTTCCGTGATGAATATACTGTCAATATGTGCAGTACTTTATATACTGATGGTCAAAGTTAAAATAGTTTGACTGGTAGGAACCATACCCTGCAACAACATATATTTTGAATCAAACGGCACATGCATCACTGAAATTGATGAATTCATTGAATTTCCACCCCCACAGCTGGATATAATAATATTGTGTGTAATAGTATAGAAACCTATACTTCATTCTTAAAGAAGGCAGTGGTGGTGGCAGTGAATCTGCCACCACACCAACTCTGTTGTATAGATTATTTCTTTTACCAACTACTCCTTCGTGTTTTAATATTACAAAATAGTCCTTCTACATAATCTACAAGCACGAAACTGTCCCCAAAACCTCGCAATTAATTTGTTCCAAGCAATATTAGCACGCGTTTAATTTATTTTAATCCATCGCAAATCACAGATATTTATCTAGTATATGTGAAATGAACGGTAAAAAGAAGTTTTTCACATACTAGTTGAACGAGTGATGTGTAAAACTTATGGAAATCGAACAAATCAAAAAATAAGATTGATGTTTCTGTTCAACAAAACAATACCTCCTGCTGTACTAGATACGCCGAAAAGAAATCAAATCGGTAATTAGGCTCTGAATGTTTCAGAAGAGATCAGAATTATAGATTTGACATTTCGACATGAGGAACAGCTCCAGATCTGAGGGCGATTCGCAAATAATTTTGGAGATGGAAGAGATATACACCGTAGAAGACTCCGAGTTGAAGAAGAAGAAGAAGAATGGGAAAGAAGTACTGAAATAACAAAAATTGGTTGATGTAACTATTACCGAGGGCCGATTCCGACATGACCTCCTTGCTATGATAAAGATTGGGGCTTTCCTGGATGAGTAGAACCAGATCTCCAGATGAGATGAAGGGCTGGCTTATAAAATAGTGGTGGGATGTAGGAAAGGGGGCGGTGGAGAGTTCGCCGGAGGCGATGGCGGTGGAATGAGCACCTAGGGTTTCTTTATGGGAAGATATTTGTGATGGGGAACTGGGGATGGTGGACAAGGAAGAAAAGGATATGATCAAGGGCTCGAGGCCCGGCCTGAGTGCCTGACATGTTGCGGGCTGTAATTAAGCGCCTGGCCATGCCGAGAAGGCCCAAATGAACTTCTTTCTTTTCTTTTTCATTTTTTTAAAAAGTCCACTTTAGGCTATGAACTATGTAGTTTTATTTGAGTCCCTTAACCATAAAATCTGATATAAAACTCCCTTAATTATTAAAACTAGTTGGATGACCCGCACAACTACACGGCTATCATCAATTTAAAATTATCTATTTTTACACATAATTTTATTTAAAATTATTATTCATGCTATTCTAATAATTTTATAGTTTTTAAAAGCAACGCCAGTCGCTACCCTTTACTCCTTTGTCACATTTTTATTTGCTTACTTGATCTATCACTACTTCTATTCATCCTCTTGAGAACTTTAAAAGTTAGGCCTTATAGTTTTTAGAGTACCTTATCTTATTGGGTTTCGTTTACATAATTTTTAGAAGTATCGTCAAACATCGCCAATTTACTACTCTACGGCCATCTGTTGCCACCTCAATTTATTGTCATCGGGATTTTAAAAATCAAATATAATTATTATTTGTGTTCCTTTTTACTTTCTATAAGTCTCGCCAATCGTTAGTGGCTTCACCAATATACTCCTCTACAGCAAACCCGCTGCTTCCCCTTCTTATTGCCATTGACATTTTAAACATAAAATATGATTATCATTGTGGTTTTTTTAATTATCCATAAGTCCCGCCAACCGTCGTGACCATGCTGCTTAACGGCATACCTATCGTCACTCCTCTTAATCATCATTGTGATTCTATTTGGGGTTTTGTTTATAGTTTTTGTTGATATCCCATCAACCACCAACACTCTACTCCTTTACATGCCTATTGCTTCTCCCCTTTTTAATGCTATTTGTCATCGTTGTTTTCTAGATGGACTTTTTTTAAAAAAAAATTGCATATTTTTCATTCCGATAATTTTTATTCATAAATTATATTCAAACTTCAATTCTTATAATTTTGTTCCTATTTTTGAAAATTATTTTATTTGTTATTTCGAACTTTAGTTAATCTCATCATGTGTTCTAGATTGCCTCTTAATTCAATTGTCTTTATTTTTTTCTTACAAATTTAAGTTATTTATAAATTTTATTCAAGTTGAGCTCTTATTTTTTTCTTTTTCTATCTTTTGAATTTATTTTATTTTTTATTTTGAATTTTAATTAATCTTGTATTGTGTTCTATATAGACTATTCTGTTAATATTTTTTTCTTTTTTATTTCTAATTTCAATGGTTTAGTTAAGATAAAATACACTGTGGGATTTCGCTTGGATATATATTTTTTTTAGAAAATCATGAGCTGTAGTTAGGAGTCCGATCGTCTCAAGTTAGCATGCGAGTTTTTTAAACATATTTCTTGCATGATTCTTTCGGTATTACCAAAAGCGAACGATCTTAAAAACCGACTCAAATACGGATATGTATTTCCAAAAGCAAACAAACTTAAAAACCGACTCATACACGGATGACTTACCAAAATACCGATAAAAACATGGTCGTTAACAAATTTTTATAATAGTAGAGAAGAGATAGATAAGAGATATAGATTAATACTAAAAAAAACCGACTCAAACACGGATGACGAACCGTGGAAACATCTTCAATTTTTTATAACCGACTCAAACACAGATGACCGACTGTGGAAACATCTTCAATTTTTATAATAGTAGATATTTGGATTGTTTCAATATTCTATTCCTACTTGAAATCTCTTTTTATTTTTTTTCTAATTCTGGATTTTATTTGTTTTTTATTTTGAATTTTAATTAATATCGTACTGGTTTCTTGTATGGACTCTTCTTTCAATATTGCTTATTTTAAATTTCGAACTTTAGTTATTTTTAAATTGTATTTCTATACGAAATATTCTTTTATTTTAATTCTAATTTAGGATTTTATTTTATTTTTATTCTGAATTTTAATTAATCTCGTATTGGGTTCTTATATGGACTCTTCTTTCAATATTCCTTATTTTTAATTCTGAATTTCAGTTATTTTTAAATTGTATTTCTACTTGGACTCTTTTTTTTCTAGTTTCTAATTTTATTTTATTTTTATTTAAAATTTTATTAATCTCGTATTGTGTTCTTATATGGACTCTTCTTTCAATATTGCTTATTTTTAATTTTGAATTTCAGCTATTTTTAAATTGTATTTCTACTTGGACTCTTTTTTCTTTTTCTCCGATTAATGTGGGAATTTCTTGCCCCCACAGCGATACAATTATATTCCTAATTGAAATCTTATTTTTCTTTTTCTAATTTTGGAATTTATTTTTTTTTTCAAATTTTAATTAATATCGTATTGTGTTCTTTTAATATTTTTATTTTTTATTTTCAATTTCAGTTGTTTCAAATTTGTATTCCTACTTGAACTCTCTTTTATTTTTTCTATTTTTGGATATTATTTTATTTTTTATTCTGAATTTTAATTATTCTCGTATTGAGTTCTTATGTGGATTCTTCTTTCAATATTGCTTATTTTTAATTTCGAATTTTAGCTAATTTTAAATTGTATTCCTACTTGAACTCTTTTTTTTTTTGCTAATTTCGGATTTTATTTTTATTTTTATTCTTAATTTTAATTTATCTCGTATTGAGTTCTTATATGGACTCTTCTTTTAATATTCCATATTTTTAATTCCTAATTTCATCTATTTTAAAATTTTATTCCTACTTGGAGTATCTTTTCTTTTCTAATTTTGGATTTTATTTTATTTTATTTTTTTCAAATTTTGATTAATCTCGTATTGGGTTCTTATATGTAAACTTCTTTCTATATTGCTTATTTTTAATTCCGAATTTCAGCTATTTTTAAATTGTATTTCTACTTGGACTCTGCTTTTTTTTTTCTAATTTTGGATTTTATTTTATTTTTATTTTGAATTTTGATTAATCTCGTACTGGGTTCTTATATGAAAACTTATTTCAATATTACTTATTTTTAATTCCGAATTCCAGCTATTTTTAGATTGTATTTCTACTTGGACTCTCCTTTTATTTTTTTTTTCTTTTTCTCCGATTAATGTGGGAATTTCTAGCCCCCACAGCGAACGTGGTGCCTCCTTTCAAAACTGTTTTAATAATATAATCGATAGATAGATATATAGATATACTAGTGCAAATCGAGTCTCCCAGCGGTTTAGTTAGGTGGTTTTGTCCCACGTGACAATGGTAAATCGTACCATGAAAATTGAAAGAATTTCGTTGAATCTACCTCCCATCCTTTCTCCTTTTCTTCTTCCTCATTCCTCTATCTCCCCATCTCTCTCCACCGTGCACATGTGGGTCAGCGGGCAATGGAGACACCGATCTGGTCGGAGAGCACCCTCAGCCATCGCCGTCGCAAGTGGCAAGAAGAGACGGCGTCACCATTTTCCTCGCTTCTCGTTGTCATGTTGATTACGCTATCCTTCACTTAGATCCAGAATACGCCGATGGCTGAGGACTCTGGAGCACTGTCTGTAATTACATTGGTGATGTTCTTTTCTTCTGAAAATAAAGATGAAGATGAAGAATACGTTTTTTACATAAAACAAGGTGGTATTAACGTATGATTGATTGAGTTTTAATTATTACAAACTTGAAAAATAGATTAATATGATATTTTAGAGCAACTTTCATATATAAATTTTTCGCATGAAACGTACCGTTAGCAATTTGAAAAGCGTGCCACGAAAATCTTAATCTTCATCCAACTTTTATTGGAGAAAAGAACGGGACCATTGCCCCCATTCTTGTGAACCTCATCATGCTCCAGAACTTCTTCTCCGGCGCGCTACCAACCGATAGTGACGGGTGATTGGCTGGTTTGGTGGTCGTCGGAGATGTCTCCCTTGATTGTTCGTTCTTGGATGGGTGGTAGTAGTCGGGTTAAGCAAAAAAAAAAAATTCAAAGATTGAATTAAGGTAGTTGTTATCACAACTTCTTTTTGCTTGGATGGATGCTATTGTCGGTGTCTCCATTTGTTGCTTGGATGGTGTTGATGGTCCTTAAGTACCAAATTCGATTTATCAATTCATGCATAATAACAATTGAAAGAATATAAAATAGAATACCAAACTTAGAGGTAGTAGTCTTGGTGAATATTTATATATAGGTAAATATATGGACAAAAATCATCCGCCATGTGACCAAATACACCTCCGGACAATCGGACACGATTACACGGTTTGGAGGCCCCACGTGTCAATCAAAACCACCTAAAATTGAGTCCAGCCAAAGTACAACATGTTGGGGGCCCACCAGGCAGCCTCCCAACCGAATGAGTGGCCGGTAGGTGAGCCAGAAGTTCGGTCGAACTGCCTTTGCATCCCCTCGCCATCTGCCAACACGTGGAGCAAGATACTGGAGTCCTAATTGCGGTTATGTGTGGTTTCTGAGCTTAACCAACCCACAAACCATCATTACAACTAGGGGTGGCAACGGGGAGGGTCGGGGCTGGGTTGGACGGGAACGTGTCACACCCTGATCCGGCACCGCCGTACAACGGCACCTGACAGGAGCGTGTCGTAGGAAAAACGGCGCGAACCGCTTCCTACGAAACCGCGATCACAGTACCAGTCCTAGGACATAGCGCTGGTACCCACGGTGACAAATATGAATCATTGCAATCCTTAAAATAAATAGAGGATTTATTTACCTTGACTTAGGTTGCAGCTCGGGACAACCCGAGAATACAACCGACGACACGGACGAGGCAAACACCAACAACAGCAGCAGCAGTGGAACCAACGGTCTAACACCCAACACCACTGTCACGCCCAGAAATTCTCAAACCAGAATTTCTAAGCTGAATGTGCATTAAATCCCTGTCCAGGACCAGCCAGGGTACACAAACGACAATTGTTGACATACAGATCCACGTCTTACAAAAATAGAAAAGATTACAAATGCAGCGGAAAAGAATAAAAGCGAGCTAAACCGGGAAGCT